AGGAAGAGTGGTGTTCCTGTGGAGGAGCAGCTGTCCAGCTGTGCTCTGTGTCAGGACGTCCTGAAGGATCCAGTCTCTACCAGCTGTGGACACTGGTTCTGCAGACAGTGCATCACCTCATACTGGGAGCAGAGACCTCCATCAGGAGACCCCTCCTGTCCCCAGTGTGGAGAAAGATCCAGAACCAGAGCTGGACTGCAGACAGCCAGTCAGACCAGCTCTGTACGAGGTAAGAGGCCGAACTCATGCAGCGTCTTTGTGATGAAGCGCACACACTCCCTCACTAACATTTTGGCTTAACAATTTGTTTGTTAAGAAAGGTAGTACATGTTTCTTCAGAGTTGTCTTTATTTCAGTTAAAGTTATAAAAACAGTTTACATAGAAAAACTAGTAAAGGGCATCTAGATTAATTTGTCAGTCTGTAAAACACACAATCACAAAGTAATCACCATTTCCTTTGTTCAGACCTGGAAGCCATTTTGTGTCACTGCTCAAAGGGGGAGCACGCCTCCAAAGTACTCCTTATGTGTGCCGTATGAGTAGGCGGAGTCTTGGACGTGATTGGTCAGGAAATGAGTGATTTTATGAGTGTCAATTAGGTTAAAAACTATCCGTTTTAAGCAGAACTTGTTGTTTCTGAAGGTACAATGTTTATGTTGATGCAATTATGAACTTACTTAAGCCTTTAGGATTGTATTAAAGCTCCCATGTCATGCTTTTCCGGTTATTACCCGTCCCCTTGTGTGTTATGAAGGTTTTTATGCATGTAAACGGTGTGCAGAGTCAAAACCCTCAAAGTACACCCTGTAGCGAGTAAAACTCTAACACAGAAAATACCTCCCCAAAACGCCTCGTTGGAGATACGTCACTGCCCATTTGAGTCTTCCATTTAGTTCCGGGTACCGCCTGATGTCATGCGGTACCCGGAACGAAATGGACCAATCCCGAAGAGCTATGGCCACACCAGCAGCGGCGTGTTCCTCCTCCAGAGGTTCGAAGAACCGGCATTTCACAGACGAAAGCTTCCAAAACATTGCCCAGTTTGAGGCCGGATATGCACAGCTTGTTTGGACCGTTTGGAGCAGGGGAAGATCTGGGTATACAACCTGTAAGTTTGCATTGTTATTTGTGTATTTATCAAACAAGACTGTTTAAATGTGTAAACTGTGTTGGACTGCTAAGCCATTGACACAGTGCTAACTGTGCTAACTAAGTTGCTAGAGTTTCCATATATCAACTCTAATATCAGCAGATGGCCTTGCATACATGTATCTCATAGCAGGAGAATGTCTGCATTCACACACAAAATACCTATTGACAGTATACTGCGGGTGATTTGCCGGTCAGTCGCGAAACGTAATTACATTATAGCTGGCGTAGCGATCTAACACACGGAGCTTGAGCTAGTTTTGGTCAGAAAAACATTTTTGTGATGCTACGTTGCTAGCGTTTAAATATATCAACTACAATGTCAGCAGATGGCCTTACATGTTTGTCATGGCAGGAGAATGTCTGCAGTCACACACGGAATACTCATACAGTATACTCCGGTTTACCGTACATTGTGACCGTACATATACTGCATGTAGCTAACGAGGCTAGCTGTATGCTAGCGCAAAACAATGTATTCATGCAAGTTACATTGTATGGTAGCAGAATACCCGTATACGATTGCAATTATAAACACGTTATTGCTAGCCTAATATGAACCACTAGCTTTTGTTCATAGTAGTTTTATTACACTGCATTATAGTTGCCTTTCCTCCAAGCTAACGTTCATATCGTGTTAGCTACCAAGGTAAACAAAGCTAGGTTAGCATATTAGCAGGCAAGCTGTTCATTACACAACTACTACTAACGAATCTAAAACAACTAAGTTTCTCTAATATTTTGTGATTTGCATTTGATTTCGTCCAGCCAGATCCTGGCGGACAATCCATGACGGGGAAGGGATTCTACTACTACTGAGGGTGCTAAAAGGCACCGCACCGACTGTGCGCAGGCAAGATGCGAGGAGGAGGAATGGATGATATACCGTGTATATATGTATATTTATGTTCATTTTGTACATTTCTAAAAATAAAGTTTAATGGAAATACTTAGTAGGCCTATCCTTTCTTCCCTGAATTCATATATAGCAAACCATGATTTGATTTCTCATCAAACAGTAGTAGTTTATAACGGGTAAAAATAACTTACTCTTTGTTATGAGAGTAGCTCGTAGGCCACAACGGAAAGACAAGGAGACATACACGAGTTTACAAAACCACGGCACATTTATTGTGGTAAATGCAAAGATAGGTGGTTGAGAGGATCGCAGAGTTAGTCTTCCTGCAGCCGCTTTGGAGAGAGACTGGGGCCGTAGTGTCCGGAGGTGTCCGTGATCGCGCTGATTACCCTCTTCAGCTCCACCCCATCGTAAGACAAAGGCCCTGGGGCCGTCACACTCTTCTATAACAACAGTTAAAAATATATATGTATATAAAATATACCGCTGTACCGACGCCATGATAAGACTGATGTTACGCTGAGAGCAGCCGGGAAAAGCACTGACATGGGCGCAGCCTCTCTGGTGGTTGACTAATCAGAACGAGTGGCCGAGCTGACCAATCGGAGCACACTAGGCTCACAGGGAGGGGGGGGCAAGAGCTCCAACGAGTCGTTTAGTGGAGAAAGTGAATACTGCTGAATACACATGCTTGACAGAGATGCTGTATGCGAAACCAATGTGAGTTTGGAAAATTGCACAGTATAAATCTATTTTAGTATACCTCAACAATGTAATTATGATCAGTGGAAATGGCCATGACATGGGCCCTTTAAATGTAGACCACAGTGTTTAATTTTGTATTTAACCCTTCAGTCCGCTTTCAGAACCATGACCTGATTGGCCAGGTTGGATTGGGAAGGCGGGCAGTCTCCTATAAATGTGGTTGGGAAGAGAGGGGAGGGGGCATTTGGTGTTTGTTCCTTGCTGGTGAACGCAGCACCAGGCATGCAGTTTTTGTTTCTGTGGAATAATGTGGAAGGCTGAGAATAAAATGCCTGTCTATTTTTGCAAGAAAACCCTCTTTCCACGTATCGTTCTTTCACCTGCACCTCACTTTGTAACAGTCTTATTCCTCTTCCTGGTTCATTTGGTCTTGATGAGGTATACTGTTGTAGAGCATAGACATTAAGCTGTTTGCAAAACATTTCAACTCAGTCTGTTTTTATTAGTTTTATTGTTAGATTCTCAAAAGCATTTCCTGATTCTCTCCGGTTTCCTTCTCTTTCAGCAGATAGAGGTCTGCAGGAGGTTTTAGATGAACATAGGCTCAGTCTGAGGAGGAGATGTGAACGTGTGACTGAAGGAACTGATCAAAGTGAAACCCTCCTCAACAGGATCTTCACTGAGCTCTACATCACACAAGGCCTGAGTGAAGAGGTTAATACCCAACATGAGGTGAGGCAGCTGGAGACAGCTTCAAAGAAAGAGACCCTCCATGAAACTCCAATCAAGTGCCAGGACATCTTTAAAGCCTTACCTGACCAACAGACTCTCATCAGAGCGGTCCTGACCAACGGAGTCGCTGGAGTTGGAAAAACCTTCTCAGTGCAGAAGTTCACTCTGGACTGGGCCGAGGGTTTGGGAAACCAAGATGTCAGTCTGGTGATCCCGCTCTCCTTCAGGGAGCTGAACCTGATCAAAGGTGAGCAGTACAGTCTTCTCAGGCTGCTCCATGTTTTCCATCCAACCTTACAGAAGGTCACAGCAGAGCAGCTGGCTGTCTGCAAAGTGCTGCTCATCTTTGACGGCCTGGATGAAAGCAGACTTTCTCTGGATTTCAGAAACAATGAGGTTGTGTCTGATGTCTCTCAGCAGTCCTCAGTCAACGTGCTGCTGACAAACCTCATCAGGGGGAAGCTGCTTCCCTCGGCTCTCGTCTGGATAACTTCCAGACCTGCAGCGGCCAATCAGATCCCTCCTGAGTGTGTGGACAGGGTAACAGAAGTACGAGGCTTCACTGACGCCCAGAAGGAGGAGTACTTCAGGAGGAGATGGAGTGATGAAGACCTGTCCAGCAGAATCATCTCTCACATCAAGAGCTCCAGGAGCCTCCACATCATGTGTCTGATCCCAGTCTTCTGCTGGATCACTGCTGCAGTTCTGGACCACATGTTGACTACAGACCAGAGAGGAGAGCTGCCCCAGACCCTCACTGACATGTACTCACACTTCCTGCTGGTCCAGACCAAGAGGAAGAAGCAGAAGTATGAAGAGGGACATGAGACAAGTCCACAGCAGCTGACGGAGGCTGACAGGGAGCTTCTTCTGAAGCTGGGGAGGCTGGCGTTTGAACATCTGGAGAAAGGAGACATCATGTTCTACCAAGAAGACCTGGAGCGCTGTGGCCTTGATGTCACCGAGGCCTTGGTGCACTCAGGAGTTTGTACAGAGATCTTTAAAAGAGAGAGAGTTATCTTCAAGAAAACAGTCTACTGCTTTGTTCATCTGAGCATTCAGGAGTTTCTGGCTGCAGTCTACATGTTCCACTGTTACACCAACAGAGACACAGAGGTACTGAAGGACTTCCTGCAGGGAGACTGGCCCGATGAGAACAGTAACAACAGTGATCAGGAGTACCCATCCCTGGATGTCTTCCTAAAGGGAGCCATGGAGAAATCCCTCAGTAGTAAAAATGGCCACCTGGACCTGTTTGTCCGCTTTCTCCACGGCCTCTCTCTGGAGTCCAACCAGAGACTGTTAGGAGGCCTGCTGGGTCGCTCAGACAAGCGTCCAAAAACCATCCAGAGACTCTTCAAAGGCCTGCTGGGTCGCAAAGACATCAGACCAGAAACCATCCAGAGAGCCATCAAGAACCTGAAGAAGATGAGCAGTGATGAAATCTCTCCTGACAGGAGCATCAACATCTTCCACTGTCTGACAGAGATGAAGGACCACTCAGTACATCAGAAGATCACAGAGTTCCTGAAGTCAGAGAACAGATCAGATCATCTCTCTGTGATCCACTGCTCTGCTCTGGCCTACATGCTGCAGATGTCAGAGGAGGTTCTGGATGAGTTGGACCTGGATCAGTACAACACATCAAAGGAGGGACGACGGAGACTGATTCCAGCTGTGAGGAACTGCAGGAAGGCCAAGTAAGTCCAGATGTGATTAACTTTATAAACTAATATGGATCAGATGTTTAATTATTCAAATAAACACTATAACATTTCTGCTGTTTAAATACTGAGAGCAAAATAAAACCAACACTGTTCTTCTATTTATTTATAATGATAGTTAAATTGAACTGTTTCTCTCTTCATATTGAGTGATGGAGGCGACATGTCAAACACATGAAGGACTTTAGAGGTTTCTCAGCATGTGATCACACCACACAGCAGGACTTACAGTTATCACAGAAACATGTTATTATTACTTTCTAGTAGTTTATTTATCATTAAACACGTTTTTATCACAATGTGTTGGAGTTTAAAATCAGATCTATATCATTTCCCACCAATAACAGAGTTATGTCTTAATGCTGATATACTGAGAACATCTGATGGTATTCAGTTTAAAATATTGAAACTTTATTGGTTTGTTAATTGTGTTTGTGTTCACAACACATGTTCAGATGCTCAGAGAAGCCTGAACACTTTTCTCTGGGTATTGTCCACAGTAATGATGTTACATGTCTGATGTGTGTAATGTCTATTTGTAAAGCGCTTTGAGCACCTGGAAAAGCACTATAATAAAATGTAATGAATTGTTATTATTATTAAACATTAATTATTCACATCCAAATATTAATTAACATTTAAATATGTACATCTCTAATGTGATTTATTTAAAGGTCTTCTATTGTGCAAAATCCTCTTCTTCATGTCTCTTCTCCATCAACATGTGTCCCCTCTTCTTCATGTCTCTTCTTCATCAACATGTGTCCCCTCTTCTTCATGTCTCTTCTTCATCAACATGTGTCCCCTCTTCTTCATGTCTCTTCTTCATCAACATGTGTCCCCTCTTCTTCATGTCTCTTCTACATCACCATGTGTCCCCTCTTCTTCATGTCTCTTCTACATCAACATGTGTCCCCTCTTCTTCATGTCTCTTCTACATCAACATGTGTCCCCTCTTCTTCATGTCTCTTCTTCATCAACATGTGTCCCCTCTTCTTCATGTCTCTTCTACATCAACATGTGTCCCCTCTTCTTCATGTCTCTTCTACATCAACATGTGTCCCCTCTTCTTCATGTCTCTTCTACATCAACATGTGTCCCCTCTTCTTCATGTCTCTTCTTCATCAACATGTGTCCCCTCTTCTTCATGTCTCTTCTACATCAACATGTGTCCCCTCTTCTTCATGTCTCTTCTTAATCAACATGTGTCCCCTCTTCTTCATGTCTCTTCTACATCAACATGTGTCCCCTCTTCTTCATGTCTCTTCTACATCAACATGTGTCCCCTCTTCTTCATGTCTCTTCTACATCAACATGTGTCCCCTCTTCTTCATGTCTCTTCTACATCAACATGTGTCCCCTCTTCTTCATGTCTCTTCTACATCAACATGTGTCCCCTCTTCTTCATGTCTCTTCTACATCAACATGTGTCCCCTCTTCTTCATGTCTCTTCTTCATCAACATGTGTCCCCTCTTCTTCATGTCTCTTCTACATCAACATGTGTCCCCTCTTCTTCATGTCTCTTCTACATCAACATGTGTCCCCTCTTCTTCATGTCTCTTCTACATCAACATGTGTCCCCTCTTCTTCATGTCTCTTCTACATCAACATGTGTCCCCTCTTCTTCTTCATGTTCTCTTCTACATCAACATGTGTCCCCTCTTCTTCATGTCTCTTCTACATCAACATGTGTCCCCTCTTCTTCATGTCTCTTCTACATCAACATGTGTCCCCTCTTCTTCATGTCTCTTCTACATCAACATGTGTCCCCTCTTCTTCATATCTCTTCTACATCAACATGTGTCCCCTCTTCTTCATGTCTCTTCTTCATCAACATGTGTCCCCTCTTCTTCATGTCTCTTCTACATCAACATGTGTCCCCTCTTCTTCATGTCTCTTTCTACATCAACATGTGTCCCCTCTTCTTCATGTCTCTTCTACATCAACATGTGTCCCCTCTTCTTCATGTCTCTTCTACATCAACATGTGTCCCCTCTTCTTCATGTCTCTTCTACATCAACATGTGTCCCCTCTTCTTCATGTCTCTTCTACATCAACATGTGTCCCCTCTTCTACATCAACACGTGTCCCCTCTTCTTCATATCTCTTCTACATCAACATGTGTCCCCTCTTCTTCATATCTCTTCTACATCAACATGTGTCCCCTCTTCTTCATATCTCTTCTACATCAACATGTGTCCCCTCTTCTACATCAACATGTGTCCCCTCTTCCTCATGTCTCTTCTACATCAACATGTGTCCCCTCTTCTACATCAACATGTGTCCCCTCTTCTACATCAACACGTGTCCCCTCTTCTTCATATCTCTTCTACATCAACATGTGTCCCCTCTTCTTCATATCTCTTCTACATCAACATGTGTCCCCTCTTCTTCATGTCTCTTCTACATCAACATGTGTCCCCTCTTCTACATCAACATGTGTCCCCTCTTCCTCATGTCTCTTCTTCATCAACATGTGTCCCCTCTTCTTCATATCTCTTCTACATCAACATGTGTCCCCTCTTCTTCATGTCTCTTCTACATCAACATGTGTCCCCTCTTCTTCATGTCTCTTCTACATCAACACGTGTCCCCTCTTCTTCATGTCTCTTCTACATCAACATGTGTCCCCTCTTCTTCATGTCTCTTCTACATCAACATGTGTCCCCTCTTCTTCATGTCTCTTCTTCATCAACATGTGTCCCCTCTTCTTCATGTCTCTTCTACATCAACATGTGTCCCCTCTTCTTCATGTCTCTTCTTCATCAACATGTGTCCCCTCTTCTTCATGTCTCTTCTTCATCAACATGTGTCCCCTCTTCTTCATGTCTCTTCTACATCAACATGTGTCCCCTCTTCTTCATGTCTCTTCTTCATCAACATGTGTCCCCTCTTCTTCATGTCTCTTCTACATCAACATGTGTCCCCTCTTCTTCATGTCTCTTCTACATCAACATGTGTCCCCTCTTCTTCATGTCTCTTCTTCATCAACATGTGTCCCCTCTTCTTCATGTCTCTTCTTCATCAACATGTGTCCCCTCTTCTTCATGTCTCTTCTTCATCAACATGTGTCCCCTCTGTGGAAAGAGACTCTGAAAGTTTCAGGAACAAAGATTCTCTCTCTTTTTGATCCATTTCTATAAAAACCTGTCTGAAAATGAGCTGATCAGATTTTGGCCACTTGATGATGTCATAACGATGTTTTGTCTTGTGTAACCATTAGCCAATCACCAACCAAGGTAACCCCCCCCCCCCCCCTTATCACCTGAATCTCCTCCTAGAGCACCATTGAGTTCTTTGTAACCAAATCTCTCTCAGAGGGGCGTGGGGAGGGGCTCCTTATTTTCATCTAAAGTAACAGACAGAGAATCAGCACTTTGGAAACAGGGCTGAAACAGAGGGGATTATGGGTAATGCTGCGATGATCTGTTTGGTGTTTCAGCCAATCAGAGACAGGCTCTGGATATATCTGAGACCTATAATATATTGATGAGAAACAGTCTAATAGGGGACCTTTTAATTTCTGTTTCTTTTGGTAACAGTCAGTGACAGCAGGAGCACAGACATGTGGTCAGATCACACTGACAACACATTCAACTCTACTATAATATATTATTATATATAATATAAAATGGACTGACAGCAAATCTCAATCAGAACATATGTCAAATATGTTTTCATCAAATGCTTCAAGTTAATATAATGTTTCCTCTTGTTTTAACACATGTTGTAATATATGTGTTATTATAGACTCACTCACTGTGAACTCTCAGAGACTGAATGTGAAGTCGTGGCCTCAGCTCTGAAGTCTGACCCCTCTCATCTGAGAGATCTGGACCTGAGTGACAACACTCTGAAGGATCCAGGAGTGGAGCTGCTGAGTTCTGGACTAAAGAGTCCAAACTGCAGACTGGAGGCTCTCAGGTCAGTTCACTGACTGCACTTCATACAGATCTGTTTGTGTTTATGATTTTCTGAATTTGAACAAATACATTTTAATTGTTATTTCTTCCATGTTTGCTAATGACTGCATATTGATCAGATTAACAAAGAGAAGGTGAATGTGTGAGGGAGAGTGTTTGAGCTTCCACAGACTCACTCTGTGCTCCATGAGTCAGTGGAGATGCTGTCAGTACTGATGAGCTGTGAGGGAGATGAAGGAGTTGTTAAACATCTGATCAAAGTTAAAGATCCAGATTATCAGTGGATTGTTTCTACATCATCTGTGACATTAAAACCCTGTTTAACTCTGAACAGATTATTAAACCTGGAGTTATTTCAAACAGGAACATTGTTTTCTAAAGTTACATGTTTTCTTTATTCAGACTGGAACTGTTTACTTTCTGACATAGAAATATTTATGTTCCCAATCATTTAGATGTGTTTTCACAGATAATAAACAGAAGGCTGATATAATGATGATCCTCAATAACAGAATGACGGTCACTGTTATTCAGGGAAAGATCATTGATTAGGACGCAGTAATGATGAGCTGCACATTTCAGACCTGAACATCTGATTGGATTATAAACTGATTTTTATCCTCATCATGTTTTCTTTATTCAGACTGGAGAGCTGCAGTTTGTCAGAGATCAGCTGTTCTGCTCTGATCTCAGCTCTGAAGTCCAACATCCATCTGAGAGTTCTGGACCTGAGTAGCAACGCTCTGAAGGATTCAGGAGTGGAGCTGCTGAGAGATCTTCTGGAGAGTCCAGACTGCAGACTGGAGACTCTCAGGTCAGTAAGGGGTAGGGGTGGGAATCACCAGGCTCCCCACGATACGATAGTATTGCAATTCTACGATATGCTAAGTATTGCGATACGATATATTTCGATATTGCAAATCACATGGGTCATATCCATGTCCGTCTTCCCTTCCTGGTTAAAAATGTATTTGCAATATGAATAGTTTATGTAAATAACCCAATTTGTGTCTTTTGAACCTGAAAAGGATTGTTTTTGTTACTTTCATTGCTATTGTTTACATTTCTATAATTTAATTCAACTTCCTGTTTTATTTAGACATGCTTTTATTTAGAAGGCGACTTTGCGCTATTAACAGGAAGCTACTGTTCCCAAAGAAAAACACTTGACGGAGATGAACGGAGATAAAGTACAGACATTAACGGAGATATCTACATTTAAATACGGCGATATAGAAAGAAAAAGTTTACATTAAAGTATTAGCAAGAGGCACAAGGTTAGTGTTAACTAATATAAACATGTGTCCTGATTCGTTCACACTGTTTTATAACTTTGCGGTTCACTTGTTTAATGGTATGCTAAAGTGATGCTAATATGGATGAAGCTTAACTGTAGTTGTTGTTTTGTGTCTTTGTGTAGCTCTTACGTTGATTGTTGGAGTTTTCAATAAATGAGAAATCATCAGTCAAGTGTACGACCGTCTTTCAGAGGGATCTGCTACACTTGAGCCTCATCCAGTGTTGCCAACTCCATAGTAAGGAAAGTAGCTATTGGCTGTCCGAAAAGTCGCCAGAAGTCCCTAAATGACGTCATCGCCTAATTTGCATATCATTTAATAGTGGTAAAAAAACGTTCCACCCCCTTCAAGGATCAAAACTTGAAACCACCAGACAGAGTAAATCCAGACGACAGTAGATCAAAAATGTCTCTATTAGAAAAAGTAGAAAGTAGTTTTTTGTAGAAATCTCCCTTACAATAAAGGCAGTATAGTATGCCCGTGTGTGTCATCTCCAATAAATGGCTTCAACCATCCTATAAACTCAGGGTTTGATTCCCACTCCTTTCTGTACTTTTGTGAATACAGTTTAGACTGTGACATGATGACCTACGTGGATGTTTAGCTTGTCACAGAGGCACACACACAGTGGACGAGGTGATTAAGTGACTGAGGCTGTGTGAGTCAAAGCAAAGCAAAGGCAGTTCTTTATTATAGTGTGACAGTGACAGTGAAGAAACATTTACATTTTACATTTAAATCCCGCTCATGCGCAAATCATTTGCCGTCTCGACGCGGGAGAGTGTGGCTGTCTCCTCTCTGCTCTGACTGCAGCTGAGCTGCTGCGGGAGGCAACTGTGAGTCTGAGCGCCTGTGAGTACTATGGGAGGGCAGAGGGGCTCACGGCAGCACCCGCGGCTCGTTAACTGCTGAACAATATGTGAGTCTCCAAACACCAGAAAGTCCCTAATAACACCATTACAAGTCGTTAAATTAGTCGTTAGTCGCTTTTGACAAAAATAAGTAGCCGGAGGGTTTGGAAAGCCGCCGAATTTAACGAGAAAGTCGCCAAGTTGGCAACACTGGCCTCATCTCAATACCCCTCCTCGACTCCTCCTTTCCCTCACTCGCGTCCCTTCCTTGCGTCTTAGCTCCGCCTCCTTAAGATGCGAGCGAGAGACACGAGGAGGTGACGCGAGGACAGAGGAGTCCTCAGGTATTAATTGGGATGTCCTCGTTCACTCAAACGTCACTTTTAAACGACGTCTGTTAATGATGACATGTGCACAGCTGTATCCCCTCTCATCGGGCTCAACTGAATTCACTGAAGGAACTCAATGTATGATGGTTGGTCCTGCTTTTGTGTTCCGTTGTGGTGTAAAATGTACATTTCAATACAATTATAATAATGTGAAAGCCTTTACTCTGAACATGTGTGTCCTGTAGATCCCCACATTCACCACAAACACACATTCAGGACTGTGCATTTTAAATAATTTAACTACTGAATATTTTAACACAAAACAAAACAAATAATTGTTATTTATCAAGATCTAGCCATTTATGAAATAGCTTTCTTAATAGCTATGTTTTAGTGACGTTCAAGATCATTAAACATGACTTAAATTGTTAGTATAACCTTAAGAAATGAATTGCACATAATAATTCCCACGGAGCTGTGAGCACTTAGACATTTATGTGACGCTTTTCCACTCATTCTTCCAGTTCTCCGTTTTCCTCTCTTGAAATCGACCAGCTGTGAAGGTGGGGGCGGGGCTTTTATACGCGAGTAGTGAAAACACTTCCGCGTAGTCTGCTCTCGTGTATCCTCCCTTTCGTCTCCTCCCTCACCCCTCCTCCCTCACCCCTCCTCGACTCCTCCGTGTGCATTTCAGCTATTGGGACGTCCTTCAAAATGGCGTGTCTTGATCGATTTCCGGGTCAAGTCCCCGAGGAGGGGAAGAGAGGAGTCGAGGAGGGGTATTGAGATGAGGCTTCAGTGTTCCGGTTTCCTGTTGTTAGCATTCCAGCTTCACAGTAGCATGCAGCTAGCACGTTCTTGTGTGTGTAGTTAAATGGAAAATAAAGTGTGGAGTTCCATATTAAACACACCGCCTCCGACTCCCATTCATCGGCTCTACACCACGCACATTTCTTTATTTCATTAAATCTCAGCCTGTTGCGGTTATGTAATCGCACAAGCTGATATCGTGATTTAGATTCGATTAATCGTGCAGCCCTAGTTCCCAATCATTTAGATGTGTTTTCACAGATAATAAACAGAAGGCTGATATAATGATGATCCTCAATAACAGAATGACGGTCACTGTTATTCAGGGAAAGATCATTGATTAGGACGCAGTAATGATGAGCTGCACATTTCAGACCTGAACATCTGATTGGATTATAAACTGATTTTTATCATCATCATGTTTTCTTTATTCAGTCTGAGGTGGTGCAGTTTGTCAGAGATCAGCTGTTCTGCTCTGGCCTCAGCTCTGAAGTCCAACATCCATCTGAGAGATCTGAACCTGAGTGGCAACGCTCTGCAGGATTCAGGAGTGGAGCTGAGAGATCTTCTGGAGAGTCCAGACTGCAGACTGAAGACTCTCAGGTCAGTAAGGGGTCGGGGTGGGAATCACCAGGCTCCCCACGATACGATAGTATTGCAATTCTACGATATGCTAAGTATTGCGATACGATATATTTCGATATTGCAAATCACATGGGTCATATCCATGTCCGTCTTCCCTTCCTGGTTAAAAATGTATTTGCAATATGAATAGTTTATGTAAATAACCCAATTTGTGTCTTTTGAACCTGAAAAGCATTGTTTTTGTTACTTTCATTGCTATTGTTTACATTTCTATAATTTATTTCAACTTCCTGTTTTATTTAGACATGCTTTTATTTAGAAGGCGACTTTGCGCTATTAACAGGAAGCTACTGTTCCCAAAGAAAAACACTTGACGGAGATGAACGGAGATAAAGTACAGACATTAACGGAGATATCTACATTTAAATACGGTGATATCAAAAGAGAAAGTTTACATTAAAGTATTAGCAAGAGGCACAAGGTTAGTGTTAACTAATATAAACATGTGTCCTGATTCGTTCACACTGTTTTATAACTTTGCGGTTCACTTGTTTAATGGTATGCTAAAGTGATGCTAATATGGATGGAGCTTAACTGTAGTTGTTGTGTTGTGTCTTTGTGTAGCTCTTACGTTGATTTTTGGAGTTTTCAATAAATGAGAAATCATCAGTCAAGTGTACGACCGTCTTTCGGAGGGATCTGCTACACTTGGTGTTCTCATTTCATCAAATTCCCCTCCTCGACTCCCCTCCTCGTGTCTTAGTCCCGACCACAGGAGATGCGAACGGAGGACTCGAGGAGGGGAACCGAGGAGAGAGGAGGGGAAGCAGCAGGCGGTTAGAGAAATGAGAACTCCTCTCCTCTGAGCGGTCATTTTAAAGAGACGTCCATTAATGATGACAGGAGGCACAGCAGCCCTCTGTCTGATGGACAGATGTGTTCATGATGACTTCTATATTTACTTTGATTCATTCACAGTGCGGTATAATGAGACAATAACAGGCTACAGATGCGGACACACACACACACACACACACACACACACACACACACACACACACACACACACACACATATATATTTATATATATATATATATATATATACAATTTCAGAATCAAACAGAGCACTCTCATAATAACGTAACACTATCAGAGACTGGATATACCCCCCCCCTCTCTGGTCGCTACAATGAGGGAAATAAATGACGGGCCAAAAGTTTTATCTACAAGTACTAAAAGTAAGCAGAGGACACCAAACCAACTGAGACCTGTCTGTCCGCTGCATCTACGCACACACTGTACCACACACACCTACACCACACACACCTACACCACACACACCCTACACCACACACACACACCTACATCTCCTAAAGCATATAATCAGGCTACAGCCGTTGTGTATTTTATTTTGTGAAGCACTAAATGGTTTTAGAAACATCTGGACTCTTTGTAGATATCTACTAAACTAAAGCAAATAAAGAGAGTAGGCCTGTTATACTGAGTGATATATATTATACACACTGCTCTGCTTTCTGCACGGACCTCACAGCTGTTCTCACTGTAAACATCGCGTCGCGATGAAAGCAGTTACTAAAATAATATCCAGGGGATGCATGCAGAGCTGTGATTGGCTGAGATAAGTCCGGCCGTGCGTCACGACTCTTTGAAACATCTCTGTTCCCGGAAATGCATCCACGAAGGAGCCGTGGAGGACCGTGGAGGACCCATCAGTGTATCCTCGGTTATAGCTCCTCCAGAGAGCCTCCTCGACGCTCGATGCTCGGTCCTCGAAGTGCATTTAGAGAAATGAGATGTCCTTCAACATGGCGCGCTAAAATTCATTTCCGGGTCACTACCGGAGGACCGAGGAGTCGAGGAGTCGAGGAGGGGGATTTGAGATGAGGCTTCAGTGTTCCGGTTTCCTGTTGTTAGCATTCCAGCTTCACAGTAGCATGCAGCTAGCACGTTCTTGTGTGTGTAGTTTAATGGAAAATAAAGTGTGGAGTTCCATATTAAACACACCGCCTCCGACTCCCATTCATCGGCTCTACACCACGCACATTTCTTTATTTCATTAAATCGCAGCCTGTTGCGGTTATGTAATCGCACAAGCTGATATCGCGATTGCGATTCGATTAATCGTGCAGCCCTAGTTCCCAATCATTTAGATGTGTTTTCACAGATAATAAACAGAAGGCTGATATAATGATGATCCTCAATAACAGAATGACGGTCACTGTTATTCAGGGAAAGATCATTGATTAGGACGCAGTAATGATGAGCTGCACATTTCAGACCTGAACATCTGACTGGATTATAAACTGATTTTTATCCTCATCATGTTTTCTTTATTCAGTCTGAGGAACTGCAGTTTGTCAGAGATCAGCTGTTCTGCTCTGATCTCAGCTCTGAAGTCCAACATCCATCTGAGAGATCTGGACCTGGGTCTCAACGCTCTGAAGGATTCAGGAGTGGAGCTGCTGAGAGATCTTCTGGAGAGTCCAGACTGCAGACTGAAGACTCTCAGGTCAGTAAGGGGTAGGGGTGGGAATCACCAGGCTCCCCACGATACAATAGTATTGCAATTCTACGATATGCTAAGTATTGCGATACGATATATTTCGATATTGCAAATCACATGGGTCATATCCATGTCCGTCTTCCCTTCCTGGTTAAAAATGTATTTGCAATATGAATAGTTTATGTAAATAACCCAATTTGTGTCTTTTGAACCTGAAAAGGATTGTTGTTGTTACTTTCATTGCTATTGTTTACATTTCTATAATTTAACTCAACTTCCTGTTTTATTTAGACATGCTTTTATTTAGAAGGCGACTTTGCGCTATTTACAGGAAGCTACTGTTCCCAAAGAAAAACACTTGACGGAGATGAACGGAGATAAAGTTCAGACATTAACGGAGATATCTACATTTAAATACGGCGATATCAAAAGAGAAAGTTTACATTAAAGTATTAGCAAGAGGCACAAGGTTAGTGTTAACTAATATAAACATGTGTCCTGAT